AGCACAAAGAGGTACTAAATAAGATTTATTGAATAAACGAGTGAATTATCTTTTCAATAAATCTTATTTTCCCTTTTTCATGTATCTGTTAATCCTACTTTTATGTATTCATAGATAATATCTTATAATGTTACCAATTTAAAGATACTTTTCTTCTGCCAGATCAAGATGTTTAATTCTTCTTTCTTGAAACCTTCTGAATCAATCAGCTAAGACATACCCAGGGCCAGGGATTTAGCTCAGTGGCACTGCGCCTGCCTCTCAAGTGCAAGGTCCTGAGTTTGATCCCCAGTACCAGGAAAAAAAAAAAGACATAGCTAATCAGTTTAATCATTACCTGCTCCTATACTTGTGCATGTCCTGTTTTTAATTCAAAGGGACACAACTGAAGTTCAAAGACTATGTCAATTTCTTCCTTTGTCACTCTCAGTAATGTATACACTGAATACTAACTAAATCTTTATTTTCGGTACTGGGAATTGAACCCAGTGCTTTCCCATTTTCAGCCCTTTTAATTTAATTTAATTATTTTTTGGTAGCGGGGATCGAACTCAGGACCTTGCGCTTGCGGGGCAGGCAGTGGAACCACTGAGCTAAATCCCCGGTCTAGCCCTTTTTATTTTGAGACAAGGTCTCACTAAAAGTCACTCAATTGCCCAGGCTGAATTCAAAGTTGTGATCCTCCTGTCTCAGCCTCCCAGAGTCCTAGGATTAAAGGTGTATACCACCATGCCTGGCCCCTAACTAAATCCTTTTAATAAAATCTTTTCTAGTATATTACTCTAAAGGGTCCTTCAAGAGATCTATATGAAATACCACCTATAAACAAGTAATGTGTTTTATACTCAGAGATTAGTGATTTAACAAGTTGGGAAAGAAATATTGAAAAGAATTTTTTAACTGAATGAGCCTGAACCCTCCACCAAATAAAAGAGTTTGTTAACTACTATTTCTGTATGAACTATGAGAACTAATTTCAGAATTTTTTTTCTCTTTCTCAGTGTGGCTCTAACATATAAGGGCAGATAATAAACAACAATAAAGTTCATGTACAGAATATGACACCACCAAAGCAACGTGACTACTCTTCTCTACCAAACTGCTGCACAGACCACTTGAAGGACAAAGGTCAGGGCACTTGCCTTGGAAGACGGTACCTGGACAAGCAGTAGGGAGCAACTCAGAGAGGACAGAAGTATAGGAGACCCTGTGTTCTGCAGCAAGTATGCCTTGCTAGTAATGTTTCAAAAATCTTACAGTTTTAAAACTTAAATCACACTACTTTTCTAACTGTTTGAAAGTCAGTATAGACATTCCAATCTAAACATATTTCAGAGAAAAACAACAGCTATGCTGGTGTCCTTCTGTAAGCCTGGGCTGAGGTGGGTGCTGAGAGGTGCTCCTTGTGCAGGGACCCAGCAACATGTCTACCTGCCTGAAAAGCACTGCGGCCAGCATTCTCCTGCTATGTGGCACTTAGACAGCAGGAGGAATGATGATGTTGTCCTGAGAACTGTGGACCTGATGAAATCTGGTAGGTTAGACCTGAAAGACTTAGCTCAAACATAAAACTATTTTCTATTGTAAAAAATTATTTTCTTGGGCTGGGGATGTAGCTCATTGGCATTGCGCCTGCCTGGCAAGTGCAAGGTCCTGTGTTCGATCACAGGAACCCCCCTCCAAAAAGTTATTTTCTTTATTTTTTCCCTTTTTAAAGAGAAAAAGTCTCATTATGTTGCCTAGGCTGGCTCTAAACTCCTGGGCTGAGGTGATTTTCCTGCTTCAGCCATCCTAGTAGCAGGACCACAGGTGGACACAAAAATGTTTTCAGCCAGGTCAGGTGGTACAGGTCTGTAATTTCAGCACTCTGGGGGGCAGAGGTAGGAGGATGAAAAGTTTAGGCCAAACCTGCGAGACCGTCTCAAAAAAAAAAAATCAAAAAAGTGCTGGAGATATAGCCTCGTGCAAAGGCAGTGTTCAACCCCCAGTACCACCAAAATAAATAAACAAACAAACAAACAAATAAATAAATGTATGTAAGTTTCTGTTACATATTAGAATTATGAAGTTAATAATTTTAACTTGAATTTTTAGAAGTAAGCAAATTTTATTAAGATTTATGAGAACTGTGTATTTTGTTAAAGTTTATGAGAGTTGCTATGAAACACAAAACTTTAGGAAAAAAAGACAAGATTGTGTTTACTGGGGCATGGGTGGATGACTGACAATGGATGATGTCAGCAGTTATAACATCCAGCATTCCAAAACTATTTAATAATTTGTTTTGAAGAAATATAGCTTCCAAAAGAACAAAAAGATAATCTAAATATTTATTTAGATGGCTGCATACCAAAATAAAGTGTACAAAATGAAGAAATTAATCCCACCTTAAAAAGGCATCGATGTTTCATCAGTAATTTAAACATAGGAAAAGTTTCCAAAGTTTACTGGCAAATTGCCTGGGAGTATAGCTCAGTGGTACAGAAATTGCCCAGGATGCATGAGATCCTGGATTTTAGCCCCAGTGTAGAAGTGCATGCGTGTGTGCATACATGTGTGCGCACACACACACACACACACAAATGATTTGAACTACTCAGTGCTTTTTTTTTTTTTTTGGTACCAGGGATTGAACTCAGGACCTTGCTCTTGCCAGGCAGGCATGGCATCACTGAGCTACATCCCCGGCCCTACTCAGTGCATTTTCTATGGGTGTGTGTGTGTGTGTGTGTGTGTTTGTGTGCGCGCGCGCACGTGTGTGTTGGGCTAGTTAGGCTTCTAGAGCAACCCAAAACACTAAGCTAAATATCAGGTACATGTATGGCTACACCACATCATGGTGAAAGAACATGAACTTTATACAAGCCACCCCACCTCCCAGGGGTTTTATCCTCATTTACCCTACTTTTATTAAGATGCTTGTGAGTCTAAAATTATTTATGAAGAATATTCTAACAAGGACTGAAATGGGGTTCAGTCTTAATAAAGACAAGGTTCATATGGCCCAATCAAGCTTTTCTCATGTCTAGATATGTTTTTCAGACATCTGGGCAAATCCTCCCATCCCCAAAAAAACTTACAATTCAATTGCATTACAATACAGCTATAATTTTCCAAAAAAGGAAGTACTTGTTATATAAGATATATCTAAAGATCAGTACAATGATCCTTACAGGGGCTCTGTCTGTGAAATACACTTTTTTTCCAGACGAAAGCACTCTCTGGGGAGTAAGCTGTCACTCACATGGTGCCACAGGAAAGGCAGATGGGAATCAGAAAAACTGTTTACCTACTGAGGTCAGTTAGCAGAAGTTAGCTTGGTAAATGTTCATGATTTAGAATGGCCACACTAGTGATTGTTATGCAAATGACCAGAGGATGCTCCAAATAAAAGCCTTAAATTCAGAATATTACATTCTCAGAATGGGCTTCTTCCCCTCTCAGATATTATAAGCTTAGACATTACTGTAATTAAATAAAATATCAACATCAGGAGAGCTAAAATAACACAGAGTGTGAAGAAACAGAGGTAACAGAATGTGTCAGTTAATCTTGCTTGTCAACTTGACTGGATAAGAGACTCCTGGAGAAGCGACTGAATTGTGAGAGAACTAACCACATCAATGGATTCATGGCTAAATCGGCTATTTGGATGTGGAGCTTAGTTGGAAAAAGTGAATCATGGGGGGATGACCTTGGGGACTATCTGGTCCCAGGCCCCTTCATTTCTAACTTTTTCCAACCTGCTCAGCTTACTGACTGCCATGAGTCGAACAGCTGTCCCCCACCAGGCCCTTCTGCCACACTGCCCTGCCTTGGAGCCAGCTACCATGCACTGAAACCTCTGAAACTGTGAGGGAAAATAAACCTCTCCTTTGAGTTTATTAAGTATTTTGTCATAGCAATAAAAGGCTGAATAGCATACAATAAGATTGAGAAATTCCCATTTCACTATTTACACTAATTCTTTATATAGTGGAATAGTTTAATTAAAAATGTTTCTTCTTTTCCATAATTCATAGATTAAGATGATTACTAGAGATTTAACAGCCACAGTTTGGGCCAACTCTATGTGCCATTTCATTTCTGCTTACCCAAAGCATTTTAGAGTGAAGTGATATTTGGTAGATATAAGCTTGCTTACTATAGAAAGCATGAAGATGTGAAAGAATTCTGCTTAAGCCTCACACAATTGTCTTTTCACTTAGATTTTCATTTATATAAACTGTCATATAATGATATTTTGTTATAGTTAGAAAAATATACAGAAAACAAACGCTTAGAATTAGAACACACATACATAGTATTTTTTATCTTCTCAATTTTCCCCCCATGTCACTTTATTATGAATTGAATGGTGAGAGTTCATCAGCTGGTTTCAGGTTGCTGAGCATTCTGGTTAGCTGGTGAGGTGGATGTAGAGGAGCATTTGGAAAGGTGCGGGTGATGGAAGACAGTTTGCTGAAGGACTTCCTTCTAGACTAGATTCCTGGTGTACAAGAGGACTGACAGGATCACTGAACAAATAGATATTCCTGGGCATTTTGCTATTATCAGAACATTCCACCATGAATAGTATTCAAAGATGTATAAATAATATTGTCTGTAAAATGGATTAATTTCTAGAAATGAGGGAATTAAAAAAACTAAAGTCTAAATGATAGTACTTGTGATGAGAATGACTAATAGCTAACTAATATGCTTTGTACCAGAGATACTTCCTCTCATTTAGTTATCAAGGAGATATGTATGTGCTCTACCTACATTTTATCTTAATTTCAAAACAATTATGAATCACTAAACCAGCACAGTTCTTTTTGTCATTCAATTATAGTTTTGCCCTAGAGGTATTTTATGGGTTTTACTCCACCCCTGACCTTGTTTTACAGGCACAGTTTGGATGATCCTGGGTTACTGTCTTTAAATTTAGTTAGAGATAGAAGACTAATAAAAGAACCAGCCATTGCAGCAAAGTAGATGCCTTTCCAGTGTGTCCTCACCTTCCTCTGGTGGCCTTCTGTAGAACCTTCAAGCCCACCAGACTGCAGGAGTGTCCTTCCAACTCTCTGTCCGTCAAGACGGCATACTCCAAGTGCACTTCACCAAAGATTCCATAGGCATCTTGCACCAGAAGGCAGACTCTGTAAAAAAGCATTCACATTTGGTCTTTGAGGAGTGAGTTTGGATCAATACAGAGATCATGATTTCCTTCTCCTTCACTAGAAATCCACTGTTGTCTTCTTTCTAAATGGTTGAGTCAGGGTAAACAACGTTAGATTCAAGCAGATACTATTTGGATTTGTATAGGCAGATGTTTGGATAGCTAGCAACAAAATAAATAATGCTTTTTTGTCATGAAAAGAAAAACCCTTAAGTCAAATAACGTGTTTGAAAAGCATATAAAGATTATAGGACTAACTTCTCAAACAAAATCTATTACCACTGCTCAGAAAGTGTCCTCTCTCCCATTTTTATCCTGTTCCTAAAGAGACATTTATGTTATATGAATGTTTAATACTGAGAAAAGCTTCAGCATGACATTATGATGAAAACAGCAAGGAGCTTTCGCTGTGACGGGTACTTATTTACAGACATGCACATCCCAGCAGGGTAAAAAGCAGTGTCCCAGCTAGCAGCAACTTGGACATGATAGGATTTCCCTCAATTTTTAAGTTCAGAGGTCAATATTTAAGAAAGTCTGTTTATGCCTAAATTTCCAATCCTCTCAGTATATACTTTGGGTAAAACAAGTCTTATTTACTACAAAATGATACATTCTCAGAGAAAGTTTCATAGAGCCTTAAAAATTTAGCCAGAAAATAACCCTACAAAATAGAATGTGGGACATAAAACTATTTTAAAGATAAGACTATAAAAGAAAAGAACAGATGACAAATGAACAATGAGCAAAGGAAAGTTAAATCTGAAGCCATGAGCATCAAGGGCTGTGTTGGCAAAAGGAACAACAATATCGACTCCCTAATGAAGTCTCCCTGGTCCACAGGACACCATGGCTTTCAGGAGAAGCAAAGAGAAACCTTGCCTGAAAGAAGGCACCTCTAACTGGATTGCTAGTTTGCCATGGAGTTAGAGCACCATAGTGCTCTCAAAAAAGCCACCAAACAAGAAAATAAATCATTATGTGGGAAAGTCTAAAATAATAAACCCGCTGAGGACTCAAGAGATTAGAATTAACAGATATAAAATTCAGAATAAATATTTTAAAAAGTTAAACATCACAAAAATATTAATAGGAGGGCCAGGGATTTAGCTCAGTGGTTCTGCCGCCTGCCCTGCAAGCGCAAGGACCCGAGTTCAATCCCTGGTGTCAAAAAAAAAATATTAATAGGAGACAAGAAGCTATAGAACATGAAAAAAAAAAGAATGAAACAGAACTTTCAAAAAGGAAAACTGGGGCCGGGGATTTAGCTCAGTGGTTTCACCACCTGCTGCACAAGCGCAAGGACCCAGGTTTGATCCCCGGTACCCCCCCCCAAAAAAAAATCAAAAAGGAAAACTGCATTCATTAAAATAATGAATTCACTGCCTAAGGGTAACACATGACTACCTTCATCTGGAGAGTGCGCTAATGGGATCTAGGTCCTAGGTCTGAATCAGTTACCCAGAATGGAGCCTGAGAGCTGAGAGAGGAGCAGGAGCAGGAGCAAAGGTGGAGAAACAGAGCACAGAGGATAAGGGCTAGCATGCGTCTCCTACAGATTCCAGAGGACCAAAATGGAGGAAGGAGAAGAGGTCATTTGTAATCTAGTGCCTGAGAACTTTTCCCAACTGATAGAAGACACAGGAAGAAAAACAAATAAAAAACGACAACTAAAAGGAAACCTATTCTAATACATATGCTTTCATGAAAATAGAGAACACCAAAGGCAATAAGATTTTATTTTTTATTTCGTGTGTGGTACTGGGTATTGAACTCTCCTCCCCCACAAGCTACATCCCCAGCCCTTTAAAAAACTTTATTTTGAGACAGGGTCTTGGTAAGTAACTAAACTGCCCAGGCTAGGCTTGAACTAACTATATTCCTGCCTTAGCTTCCCAGAGTGCTGGGAGAAAAAACAGCTGCATGCTGTGTTACCCTAAGAATGGACATGTGTAGTTCATTTATAAATGCAGTGGAATTTAGTTAGACAAGGTCTTAGCTAGAGAAGTATTATAATTGGTTTCTATGAGCTGAATTCTTTGGATCTGTCCCCGCCACTTTCTTTCTCTCTCTTCCTGCCTCCTTGCCTCCTCATGTGCTGGTGATTGGCCCTAGAGCCTCTGGACTATGCTACATCTCCAGTGGCTCCCGTCCCCCCAGAGAGAGTCTCCCTAAGTTGCCCAGGATTGGTTCAAACTTGCAAGCCTTCTGCCTCAGCCTCCCAGGATTACAGGCATGTGCCACCATGCTTGGCTGAGATTTTAAAAGCAAGAAGCACAGGGGGCTGGGGATTCAGCTCAGTGGTTCTGGTGCCTGCCTCGAAAGCACAAGGTACCAAGTTCGATCCCCAGCGCGCGCGCGCGCACACACACACACACACACACACACACACACACACAAAAGCAAGAAGCACATGCACATACACACAAAATTTTTAAATTTACCCACGTGGTCTAGGATCTTTTAGCAAGAAGTGCAAAATGAGAAGATTTTAAAAGAACAACTTTGAGTATAAAGGCAGTCGGGAAGGCGGGAGACAGCGCAGTTTGAATCTCGGTGCAGGGGAGTGGTAGTGGTGGGTCCTGCTGCGTGTCAGAACAGCCTGTTTACTGCCTGCGTGCTTGCACCTCAGCGGAATTGGAAATGGTTGGCGGGAAGGCTGGGAAGGACCCCAGAAAGGCCAAGACAAAGGTGCGCAGCGGGCCGGCCTGGAGTTCCCCGTGGGCCGCATCGACCGACACCTGAAGTCTAGGATGACCAGCCACGGGCACATGGGCGCCGCGGCCGCCGTGTACAGCGCGGCCATCCTGGAGTACCTCACTGTGGAGGTGCTTGAAGTGGCAGGAAATGCATCCAAAGACCTGAAGGTGAAGCCCATTACCCCTTGCCACTTGCAGCTTGCCATTCGTGGGGATGAAGAAGCTCATCAAGGCTACAATTGCTGGTGGTGGTGTCATCCCACATATCCACAAGTCTCTGATTGGGAAGAAAGAACAACAGAAGACTGTGTAAAGGATGCCTGCATTCCTTATCATCTCAGGACTCTAAATACTCTTAAAAGCTGTCCAGTGTTGGTGATTCCAGTGGACTGTATCTCTGTGAAAAACACAATTTTGCCTTTTTTTGTAATTCTATTTGAGCAAGGTAGAAGTTTAATTAGCTTTCCAACCGACCAAATTTCTGCATTTGAGTCTTAACCATATTTAAGTCTTACTGTGGCTTCAAAGAAGCTATTGATTCTGAAGTAGTGGGTTTTGATTTGAGTTGACTGTTTTTAAAACTGTTTGGATTTTAATTGTGATGCAGAAGTTATAGTAACAAACATTTGGTTTTGTACAGACATTATTTCCACTCTGGTGGATTAGTTCAATAAAGGTCACATCCAAGAAAAAAAAAAAAGAAAAGAAATGTCAGGTAAAAGGGCTGAAAACCAAGACCAGACCAGGCTACACTAAGCCTTTAATAGGGGAATAGATCTGCAGGGCTGTCTCTGACCAAAGGAGAGACAAAAGCAATATGGCTGGGGCAGGGAGAGTCTTTTATAGAGACTGGGGTGGGGTTTGTAGGGGCTGAGGCAGGGTTGAGGGAGGTAGTGACTAGGAAACGGAGGAGCCGGTGATGTCACTAGGTGGTAGGAGGTGAGCCAGTATTAGGTTACTCTCTAGGTGGGAACAGGGGCATGCTGGGAAGAAGGGTTTATTCTTTGGTGGGAGCAACCATCTTGGCCTGACATCACACAGGGGAGGGGGCAAGGCAAGACAGGAAGAGGGCAGCTGCTATCCATAATAGCTGCTGAGGTAGTGGGAGACCTATCAAGAACAACTTTAAAGGAATGAAATTCTGCTTTACATCAACCTTTTACTAAATCATGAATAAACCCAGAAGTTCATGGAATACTTTCAAAATTCTTTTTTGGGGTGGTAGTTTGACTCAGGGTTTTGCTATCTAATACAGGTTGGCCTTGAACTCCCAATCCTGCCTCTGCCTCCTAAGTGCTGGGATTACAGTTGTGTACCACCATACCTATTTTTAGAATTAGCAAAACTATCTTTCAAGGATAGTGGTAAAGGCATTTTCAGATAAAGAAAAAAGTAGGTGCATTTTCTACCTACAGAACCTAAAATAGTAAGTATTACGGTAATTACTAAATGCTTAAATTATACACTTAAGAAGCACAAAAATTATTTTGGAAAATGGTTCTAAGATACAGGAAGTATTAATGATGAAAAATATAAACAATAATAATAAATGTGGGATAAAAATAACAATACAGTTCATAATATTAACTAAGGAGTAAAGAGATGAAAAACTGGTAATGGATAGCATGAAAGTCAAATGGGGGTGACAAGTTCAAATTCTCAAGTCTTCACATCACTCTATATGTAAAGTTATTAACTTAAGTATATACAGTAAATTTTCAAGGAAAATTACTAAAAGAAGAGAAACTGGGAATATAACTTCCAAATTACTGGAGGAAAAATGGGATGAGAATTATAGGCAAAAAATAAAAACAAAAAACATGAGAAAAAAAAGCATAAAAAAGACTGGAACTAATTTTTCACTCATTTTTCTTCCCCTCTCACTAGGGCCTGAAGTCTAACTTAGTTTCCAGCATGCTATGTGAGAGCAGGAATGAAAATATACATTTTATGTTGACAACTCCAGTCCTTTTTAAATTTTTATTTTGAGATAGGATCTTGATAACTGGCTAAATTGCCCTGCCTGGACTTAAACTTGGAATCCTCCTGCTTAGCCTCCTAGACTTCTGGGATTACAGGTGTGAGCCACCAAGGCCAGCTAATATTGTCTTTGTTTATAGAACATCCTCCTCACCCCTTTGTCACCTCCTCCCCTGACTTATCTCTCTATTCCATGTCTTGCTTTTTTTTTTTTTTTTTTTTGGTACCGGAGATCAAACTCGGGTCCTTGCGTTTGCACAGCAGGTGGCGAAACCACTGAGCTAAATCCCCAGCCCTCTCC